TCTTAGGGATATAAAAGGCTTTGGGAAAAGGCATTCTGTTAGCTGCGACTTTCCCATGGGCAAAATTCACAATTTCCTATGGACAAACAACTTCGGGAAAAGGGAGACTTGTCCCCTCGATTTTCCATTCTGCGGAAAAATGGCTTCGGAATTGAATGTATTTTAGAGGCACTTTTCCTGTATGGAAAATTTTCTGATGTTTCACCCAAGCGCCAGATTCCCAGGAGCCGCTAGCTCCAGCCAGTACACAAAAAGAAGAGGAAAATACTGATGTCGAACCAGTGAGATCGGCGGCGCGCTCCTGTGGGCGGAAAGTGATGGGCGGATTCTTGTGAGGTGCAAGTACAAATGGATCCAGTGTTGAGCGGATTTTGAGGCCTGAGCGGAAGGAGGTGCGGGCAGATCGGCGGGAAAATGTTACAACGGGCATGTCATTCCTCTTGAATACTGCGTACTTTGGCCACCGATCTCACTTCGGGGCTACAGAAAGACGAATGTAAGGCCCACGATACGATGAAAAACTTCGAGACCAACATACCGACCGAACGACAGGTTCTACGAGGGTCCACGACTTTCAGACTTCTCTTTTTGAGATGGGGTCGCTTCCCAGCTTCTTCTTCAATTCAAGTCCAGATGAAGTACTGCGCACTATTTCATTCAATTCGGTGAGGGGTACGACTTCGACCCAAAATTTAAGCTCAACACTTCGACACCGACTAAATTTTGGCGGGACCGACCGAAGATTTTAGACAGCGGAACTTGAGCGGAACGAAATATTTGATTTTTTAACGTCGAATACGGGCTCGGCGTGGCGAGAGGCGCGGTGGACGAGCGCGCACGACGGGATTGGCTGTACATGACGATGTGGTCGCTGGATGACGTCGGTGTGAGGTCGTTGGCCGTATCGAGATGAACAGAACGTCGGTCGGCGCAGACGGCTATGGGGTGTCGCGGGTGAGGAAAGGGAGGAAGCTATGGAAGGAGGGGGGAAAATCAAAAGGAGAGCGAGAAGATAAAGGCTACGGGCACGAAGACGAAACGGAGAGTGGAGAGACGTACTTCGTCGAATAATTCTCTACTCGCTCGCCGGCATGCGGGTTGAGGCTCAGGTATTCGTTCGTGCGTGGTGCGAGGGTGAGCGCGGAATAATATTTAGGGTGAACGATTCATCTTTAGAAGCCTCGTCAGAATGATGCCTTACTGCTACACTGGGTGGGAAGCGAAAGAATGACTCACCTGAGGCCAAGGAAAGCTCGTGGTGGGTGGTGTGTAGGTGAGAGCACGGCGGCGCATTATTGCAAGAAAAGCGCCGAGAGCGACCGTAAGAGGATGAAGGGCCGCTAGCGACAACGAGAAACAAGGAGCGAGGAGGCGCATAGTCCTGACCTTAGGTGTTGATGAGCGCAGAGCGCCGGCGGCGGCGAGGGTGAGCGGAGGGGAGGCGATCGAAGCAGCAAGGCAGTGCGCGGTATTGTGTAACGGAGAGCGAGAGTGTACTGGCCGTCAACGAGTAGGGGAGGTGTGGCGATGCGCCGACGCATCAGCAAACATCCCTCGGCCCGCGATCAGCATCTCGCATCTTGCTATTAACCACGACGATCTGTTCGCCCGTTCACTGCGGGCTGCCTTCCTTCCGCTCAATTTCAGGGAGATGTCGTCCGAATTCATCATTTTTCTTAATCCCACCACTATCCCTTGCATCGGTTGCTCCACACCTCCCCTTACTCAATCCCCGTTGATTTCGTCCGAGTCCTTGGTACTGTCGCCGGTTCTGTTCTGCCGTGATACCGCCTAAGGTGCAAATCTTGAGTGCCCGGTGCCCGGTTACCTAAAAGCTTATGTGGCTTGTCTGCTTTCTGCGACCGCAACCCATTCTGCTCCACGTAGAACCGCTCTCATTGCAATTTTTAATGTCTTTGCTATGCATCCCATTATCGCTTTTGGCTCTCGCTTCGTCCGTGCCTTGTACATTCCTATGCGATGTTTCGATGCAGCATGCTATCGCTTGCAGTACTGGACCAAAATACACACCAAATACAAAAGCGTCGGGAATTACCTTAAAACGGCCCTCTCGAGAGAATGTCCTCGCAACCGGTGAATATGGCCGACCACAGGAGAGCCCAACAAGTGCTGCAACCTGTGTATACATTTACCACGGGTGCCGGATTCTTTGCAGCGCAATATGACTCGAATCCCCAATGCGAGTGACCGATCTTTTATGTGCGATATTTCATCAGCATAAATAACCACATCTGTCTCTGCCGCTGCATTACAAAAACACCCCCTGAAATGGACCTCAACTTCACCGAGAGAATCTCTCCAGGCCCAGCACCTCGTGCCCGCGACACATGGTATTACACGCGCGACATAGGCGACGACCTTCAGGACCTCAACATTCCTGAGGGGATCAAAGCCGAGATCTTTGCCATCGCCTACAAATACACACGATGCGTAATCCCGCACTGCACCAACTGGGAGCGATATCTCGCTTTCATGCGGATCATAATCTGCATTGCCGAGTTCAACAGAACCATCGTCGACGTATTGGTCAGCGACAACCTCCTGGGCTACTCTGTACCGGACCTCCTGGACACCTTCCAAGGATCACCTACGCGCGAGAACATGGAGCGCGAGTTCCGTACTTGCATCCTCTTCGTGGCGGAGAAAGCCAGCAGCAGGCGTGATGGCAAGCTATTTCGACGGTATGCCAATTGTCTCGCCGACTCACCGAGGCAGTGGTTCCGCATACGCGACTGTGATGGGCTCGCAAGGTTCACGATTATGGCTGCTCTCACATGCAACGAGGTGCTTAACGTGTGATTCTCTGAGGAGCAGTTCGAAATCCTCGGCGAGATCGGCATCGCGATGTACGACGCTGTCGCGTAATACAAGCATCGGTCCGAGGGTGAGGCATGCAGGATGTTTGCGTGCATATCCGACGACATGTGTGTCACGGCCTCCCGGCAGTGCTGCGAGATACTCTGGGCGGGGCCATCCACCTGCTGATGCGTCGGTATCGATTTTTCGACGAGAACCTGATCATCGGCGTTCCCGAGACGGAGGAGGTCGTCTCCCTGACGCGCGCCAACTTCAAGCTCTGGTACCGTATTGACGCCAACAGGACCAGGGATGATAGCAAGGAGAGCTTCCAACGCTACAAGGATGTCCTCGCTGCAAGCGAGGAGGTCTTGTTTCCTGGTCTTGCTCAGACCCTCGAGACGGCGGGCGACGGGAATTGCGACCGTTGCATTCACCGTGGCTCGTATGGCGCAGAGGACACCCACTATTTCGGCGGGGTCCAGCTGTGCGACGACTGCCGGGCTAGTCATTTCCTTGAGTCTTTCCCTGACCGTGCAGCGAAGGCATTTCCGGAGCTTGGGGATATGTACTCCAAAGGAATCGCCTCGACCAGTAAGTTCTAAAGTAGCATAGCACCGAGTATGCGCGGGCTTATGGCTGCACCAGGAATCGTGATATGAGCCCAGGCGCAATGGTTTTGTAGCAGGGGTTCCTTAGATGGATGATTTCATAGAAGCACCGTACACTAACGCTCCAACCATTTAGTTTTCGTTTGATGACCCGGGCAAATCAAATGGAAACAGTATTCACTGTAAACAGTTTGAAACCCATTTAAAACCATTTAAAATGGTATTTTGGGTGGTAGAAATTAGCGAGAAACCCGAGTTGAACAACTGGGATATTAACCTCCGCGGCAGCAGGCAGGATCCTAAACATAACTTCTTTATCTACCAATCTTTCTAAACTTGTGTCTCTTGATAAGTATTTCCCCTATAAACATCTGATCTCCGTTGGGAAATATTTAGAGGTCTAAAAATTCTGGGACCCCGCAGTGTTACATTTCACTTTATTGAGAGGTGTGTGCTTACACATTGACGAAAGGGAACAAAATAAGAAGCCTAACTATAGGAGTGCTAGGTCCTGGTCGATAGTTATAGATGACATAGGGTAGGATAAGAAAGAAGATAAAAGCCTTTTGTCTGAGAAACACACATAGATAGGAGGCAGAAACCGGAGGGGCATCTCGAAGTAGAAAAATACAGTGTTGTGAGCCATCACCTTGTGATAGCTCCTGATGGAGGCTCAGAATGTCGAAACTCCAACATCTATATAAGAAAAGGCATGGATTGTGAAGACAAAGGTGGAGTTTGGTGGAGTTTCCGAATCGGTCTGCGTTCCGTGATCCTAGCCTGAACACTGCCACTTATGTCATCTCCACCTTCCTCTCCACGACTCCCACTCTGGGCCCAGGCACCTAGCTGCATGTAGCATCTAACCAGATGAATACATACCACTTTATTTGAACCTTCACATACTACCAAAGGAATGAACTCCAAAAAGCTACAAAAAGCTAAAGGCCTGATGGAGAATCAAACTCCAAACCCTCCATGAAATGGCATACTCAAACTCGAAGAAATATGGAGTGTGATACCATTACACCACTGGGTCAGTATCAGCAAATACAGCTAAAGCATTGAAATCCCTGCCATTTGAACTCCAGCCTCCAAAGAAAAGTCAAAAAGCTAAAGGCCCAATGGAGAATCAAACTCTGAACCCTCCGTGAAATGGCTTACCCAGATCTGACCATGAAATATGGACTGTGTACCATTATACCACCAGGTCAGTGTTAGGAGTGCAGCTAAAAGAATAGCTCATGTCTGAACTCCAGACTTCCTCCCCTGCAAAAGGTGGTGTAGGAATGGGAAAGGCATGACAAAGAATTGAACTCTGGACTTCCCTTGGACATGTTCACTTAGGTACTAATATTGGGGGACATGCTACTGTTGCATTATCACACAGCTCCATGGAAGGTCCAAAAAAGGGAAAAGAGGGGAACAGAATGGGAATGGCTCGATGAAGAATCAGACTTCCTGCAGAAGTGCATGTGCAAGAGCAATAAGGCAGAATGTGATACCAGCTATGCCATCAAACTATGGTTCTACACAACTCTGAAAGGGAAAAACTGGATCAGAACGGAAGAATGGCTTGATGGAGAATTGAACTCCAGATCTCCTGCTGAAAGCGATTGCACAACATCAGCAATGCAGGATGTGTCACCAGCTACACCATCAAACTGTGCTACAAATACTCTGATGAAGGGGAAAAAGGGGTAGGTCGGGTTTGACGATGAAAGGGTTGCTCTGGCTCTACTGCTGAAATGCGCTAAATGAAACAAAAACCCAACCATCAAGTGACTTGAGGAAGGCCTGACTCCAAGGAGCAAGACACTACTCAAAACCACTCCAATAATTGAATCTCATTCCACTCAAACACTTCTTCACAACTGCAGAAGTAGTCTGACGAGTTTGGGTCTTATTAGACACAGGTATAGGTCTAAGGAAGGCTCTAGGTTGAGAACACTTTGATTGACTTGTACTGCTGGAAGTAACCTCCTAAGAGGAACTCCCATGGTATCAAGCAAGGCTTGTATCACAAATTGACTAGGTCAATGAATGTAGACGAGCTCAATGATGACAGATTTAGAGCTTCTCAGCTATAAGCAAGTAACGGCACTGAGCCGGCAGGTTGGGCTTGAACCGAAGTTCGAGTTTGTGTGGACTCCAAGTCCCATATAGCAATCCAAATCAACACTCCACGGAACTTGAGACAAACATTTCACTGTACTCAGGACCTTCATCAGGAAGACCCACGCTGTTGCCTTCAGTCGAACCTTTAAAACGTGGAGAGGGGCAATGGTGTTAGCCTCACACACTAACCGGGTTTACGACGTCCGACTTTAACTCAAACAACTTAGTCTCAACAATATTCCATCAAACAGACATCACATTGTGAATCAAAGTACCACCAGAGTGCACTCCTGCCCTCAGGACTCTGACTGGAGACTCCTTTTGGAGACCCCAGTCCTAGCCTTTGGGCGGGCATTCACTGGGGAACACTACAAAATGGCTGGCTATATATACTAAATGTGTTAATCTATTACAAAGCGATCCTGGGTCTATATAATTCCTAACAGGCTGGATAATGGGTCAGGTGCGATCAGGTAATTATGCCATTGGTTGGGGCTTGCTCCTGAATGTCGTATAGGTTCCTGAATTAAAGTCATAGTACTTTCCCCTGTTTCACAGGTTGAGTACCAAATAACTTCGTTCCAGTTACTCCCTTTACACTCTTGAACATTGGAACAGCTCCGGATTATCCGTAGCTTTCTGTACATACCCGAAACTTAAACTTCCATAAAGGATGCTCGGTTACTTCATTACAACTTATTCTGTTGAACTCAGAGATGAGTCATCAACAAGAGTAAGTACATTCTGGTTAACTCCGACCCGGCCGATGCTCCGGAACTCCCGATATGATCACGTGAGGTGTCGCGTCGCGTACTTTGTACAAACAGTGCCACACTTGGCAGACTGTATCAGTATACACCGAGGTAAGTCCCAGGACTTCAAGCATCATTCACAGAGTGGATATATTGGATAGAATAAAGCTCTTTGGTAGTCGGCATCATATGGCCTGATAGCTGATCATGTAGAGCCCATGATAGCCCTATAGAGGAGCACCATTCACTGCCAAATGTAGCAATAATGCATATTTTCATGGCTGGCCAATTTGGCTGTGTATCAACGAGGAAAGAAGGCCTGACAGAGGATTGAACTCCAAGCCCTCCCAAGGACATTGAGCTTTTGTATGGCTAAAGAGTGCACTAAGCCATTGCGCCACCAGGCCGACTTGTGGGGGAGGTCTGGAGTCTGAGATTGGGAAAATTATTAAGAAAAGAAAGAATGACTCAGCAAAGGATTGAACTCTGATCTCTCTGTGAAAGCAATGTGGTGATACCGCTATGGTGATGAAGGTGACTTCTGTGGGCTCCTTACAAGCGAAAGGCTGGGAAAGAGAGGGGAAACTTGGTAGAGGCATAAAGAGGGGTAGAAAGGAGGAGAAAGCCATGGGAGTGCCACCAAGGGCACATAAATCCCCTGGTTTTATGATCTACAACCCAAATATACTTTGGACAACCATGGTTCATGGCCCAAGAAGCCCATAAAATCCATATTTCACCTTGGATTCACAAATTGGGCCCCACATTGCCTTCCAGAGTTCCTCCTCCGAGGAAGTGTAGAACAGATCCATTTCCCGACACTTCAAGAAGGCTAACTAGGGATCGGGATTGGAGTTCGCTCAGAAACCCCTAGTTAGTAGGTTTTGAACACAATTGTTCAAACCTTTGTATGCACTTCCCCACCAATATATTAAAAACCCCTCCTACCTACTTGTTGACAGCAACAGAACAAATTCTCCCTAGAGGACGATAGCTTTTAAATATTGATAAGCAGTGTACTTTTCTGGCCATGAAAATTGCATTTTATGCATTCTTCATATCCATAAACACTGGGGACATCAGTATTAGTCATTGAACATTGGACATCTTAGGGGAGCTTTGAAGCATGTTTGTATAGCGGTACTCCACACTGGGGCCTATATATGACTTGCACTGAGGTACAACACCCCGTTGAAAACAGTGCAGCCCAATTATCCAAGGGTTCTAAGTCACTTAGTGTCGGTCCCCAACCTAGGGAAGGGTTCCGAGCCCTGTATACATGCTAAGAACAGCATCTATAGTCAAACAACAGGATGTTTTACTATATTGACACTGATCCTCGCACCGTGACACCTCACATGAAGGGTCCAGGCTCCAGGAACACAAGTAGCCAGCTTGATCAGATCCGAATGGGCATGGATGACTCTGTTGATGGAATCAAATATTGATCAGAAGTCTCTGGAACAATGTTCAAACACCATAAACTAGCACCTAAAGTCTGTGTAAGGCACATATAAGACTTCAGAAGGAAACCTAAAATATCTATTATACAAAAGATGGGGGGTCACGTGAAATGACAACGGAGCCTTCCCATTGGTTCTTTATCTTTGAGACAAACATCAGGACAAACAATGATGCCGGCTTCTTGACAGCCTGACTCCTGAAAACAACCTGCTGCTGCAACCATGCTCCTCCGACCTCGGGAGCCTTCCAATGTTCCGTTTACACAGGAGCTGCTCCTCTGACACTGTCCCTAATTCCCAACTAATTCCTCAATTTAATTCACCAGCTTTTGTCATTTTTCCTGCATTTCTCTTGCATTTCTCACGGGCATGCAAGGCTCAAGCGGGTAACGGTATGCGAGTCATTCAGTCTTCAGGCTTGACGGTTGCAGGGGATTTCTGAAAAGATCTACATCAGCCGGTTACATGTCTACGGGTACGGGCTCCTTGAGTTGGAATCTGCTATATTGTTCTATTTCAATGCCATTGCTTAAGTTCAGCCACGGGCCCAGGTGCTTTGTTTTTCTGTCTCTGTGTTCGGGCATGTCCACGGGTGCGAGATTATGCTTGATTTATCCCCACATTCTCTGTCTTTCTGAGTCTTTCAATGCAATCCTATTCTATATCTTTGCCTGCCACGGGAAGGTTCAACCGGGTAATGGGAGATTGGTAACAAGAGGTGCCAGACTTTATTGTGGCAAGTCTACAGCATCTGAATCACTTGGCCCTCAGGCTTTACTGGTGCGTTCCAGTGAAAAAATTGATCTCCATGAACCGATTATGCTCTCCTGTCTACGGGTACGGGCTACTTCAAGTTGGCATCTGCCATCTTGCTCTATTTCAATGTTGTTTGGGTTTGGCAACGAGTGCTTCAATTTTCTGTCTTTGAAACTATGCCAGTGTCAGATATGCTGGCTTTTACCCCGCCTATGGGTGCAGACTATGGGGGTCTTTCACAGATTTGATTTGAGACCACCAGCCACGGGCATTAATTCTAAAATGCTTCCTCCATCTTTTGATTCAACTGGGTCCTGCTATCATTTATAATACTCTCCCAGGTCTCTTTCAGAATGGGGATAGGATGTGAATGCATAGATCAAGTTCCATCGAAAATCGGACAACTGGGACATGAGGAACCAACCAAAGGTTGGTGACGAGTGTCCCACCTGAAGACTGGTGCAGTTCAACATGAGATTGTTTCCAACTATTGTAATGGAGACAGGTCCGGAGCTGGGCTTCATGCAATCCGGTACATTGTACATCGACTTCTGAAATCTGACTTTTATTTCCGTGGCATGAGCCACGGGTCCAAGCTAGTTATAGACACTTCAAAGGTGTCTTGCACACTATATACCCTGGAGTATGACCGTTCGCCCCTTGATCCCAATGGTTCAGAGGTGTAAGTCATACGGCTCCACTGTGAATCAGCAAGGAGGAGTCATCCATGAATGTGGGAGGAGCCTCGACCAATCGTAGAGGTTATGGGACCAAGATATTCCGGATTGCATGCTCTTTTCAAATATTATTTATCAGCGAGTAGTTTAATCAACATTTGTAATCATGTATAGAAACTGTATATAAGGGTGCCTGCGCTCAAGGGAACAGCAGCAAATTGCACCTGTGGCTGGTTGAAGACCAGAAAGTCCCAACTAGTTGATTGGTTAGATTGTGTGCTCTGTTCACCTTAAGGCAATAGCTCAGTAGAGTCTGCTTTATAGTGTGTGAATATACCCTTGAATTGATATAAACCTATTGGCCTAGAAGTTTAAAGTTGCAATGTTGTGATATTGGCCTGGAAGTTATCTGGCCTGGAAGTTCCTACATGTTATACTTGTCCAATCGTGTTTATACAGTTTGCTGATACACAGTTTAACACCGTTCTTGCATTTGCTTCGGCCCATATACACTGTTGTATTTGTTGTCGAAAATCAAGCTGAGCTGTTTACGATTGTTGAAACTCCATTGAGCCTTGTTGATACATCCTATAAATATTGTTCTGAGAGTCTAATACTTGACTCATCACCTCTGAACAATCAAAAGACACCTATTGGGAGTTGTGTAGTAGCGGTTTGGTAGTAGTTTGTGGGTTGTTAGTTGTTGGTATATACCTTTGACGTGCCATCTGCAGCTAGTACATTTATTGCACTGCATGACGAGCACCATCTTATCAATGTAGTCTGGATCTCCCCATCATCTGGCAGTTTGAAACACCACAGTCCACATCACATGCAAAGAATACTCACAAGAAGGGAAAAATGAGAATGCATTGAAGTAGGATGGCAATTGAATTCCAG